CAGCCCAGAGGCGTGGACGTTGTCGACCACATGCCCACCCCTTGGAATGTTCCGAAAACAAGCGACCTTCGCCCACCCCTTGGTCGGGATGTTCCAAAAATGAAGGACTTTGGTCTCGTCACTTGCCCACCCCAAGGGATGTTCCGAAAACATTGTGGTCGTCCAGCCTGGAGGCGTGGACGTTGTCGACCACATGCCCACCCTTGGAATGTTCCGAAAATAAGCGACCTTCGCCCACCCCTTGGTCGGGATATTCCGAAAACGAAGGACTTTGGTCTTGTCACTTGCCCACCCCAAGGGATGTTCCGAAAACATTGTGGTCATCCAGCTCGGAGGCGTGGACGTTGTCGACCACATGCCCACCCCTTAGAATGTTTCGAAAACAAGCGACCTTCTCCCACTCCTTGGTTGGGATGTTCTGAAAACGAAGGACTTTGGTCTTGTCACTTGCCTACCCCAAGGGATGTTCCGAAAACATTGTGGTCGTCTAGCCCGGAGGCGTGGACGTTGTCGACCATATGCCCACCCCTTGGAATGTTCCGAAAACAAGCGACCTTCGCCCACCCCTTGGTCGGGATGTTCCGAAAACGAAGGACTTTTTTCTTCTGGAGGATCGCGTGAGTGATCGGTGTCCATTGTGAGCGTCAACTTGCGAACATGTAAAGTACGTAAAATGTCGTTAAATGAACCAAATGAAACTCGTATGTAATTATAATTGTAGCAAATTAATAACATTGTCAGGCAGAAACATTTCAATATAGAAATCGACCATTTTGATAACTTCTCAAACGAGGATTACACCGATTCAACTGCTCGAGTATGGAAGAAAAATTTTACACATAATATTTTTTAAGATTGGCTACATTCCACGACCTGGCTAGTGATCTGCCTTCTGCATCCTTCAGGGAATACGCTCCTCCTACATGAACTTTCTCGACCAAGTATGGTCCTTCCCAATTAGGCTCCAGTTTTTCTACATGCTTGAGCACGTCCATCCTTTTCCAGACTAGATCGCCCACCTGAAATCGACGGATTTTCACCTTTCTGTCATGGGCTGCTCTCATGCGTTGTTTGTACACTTCTACTCTGGTCGAGGCCTGTTCTCTGAGTTCTTCAATCGTGTCTAAGGCAGCCAGCATGAGTTCTTCATTCTGCCCCTGGTCATACGCGCTCATCCGTTGCGACTGTAACTCTAGCTCGACCGGCAGCACCGCCTCCATCCCATAGACCAGGCTGAAGGGTGTCTCTCCAGTGGTCGACCTCAGAGTAGTTCTGTAGGCACAGAGTACGGATGTTAACTCGTCTACCCACGCCCCCGAGGCTTTTTCCAGTCTTGTCTTCATCCCATTCAATATAATTCTGTTGGTCACTTCCACTTGCCCATTGGCTTGTGGGTGGGCGACGGAGGCAAAGTGTTGCTCGATTCCCATCTCCTCGCACCATGTCCTGATCCGCTTGCCGTTGGATTGCGTCCCGTTATCAGATATCAAGACTTTGGGCACCCCAAATCGACAACAGATGTTGTTGTACAGAAATTGGATTACTTTCTCCTCAGTGATTTTGGCCAGCGGCTCAGCTTCCACCCATTTCGTAAAGTAGTCAACTGCCACAATCAAAAATTTCTGTTGCCCCGTCGCCTATGGCATTGGCCCTACAAGGTCGATTCCCCATTGCGCGAACGGAATTGGTGCGCTCATCGTGGTCATCGTCTCCGCAGGTTGGTGTATGAGCGGGTCGTGCTTCTGGCATTGCATGCATCTCCTGGCCATTTCCTTAGCGTCCGCCTTCATTGTCGGCCAGAAGTAACCTGCTCTCAAGATTTTTGCGACCATGGCTCCGACTTTGCTATGATCGCCACAGCACCCCTCATGCACCTCTCGTAAAACATACCGACCTTCCTCTTTGGATACACACCTCAAATGTGGGCCTGCATATGATCGCTTGTAGAGGACCCCGCCCTGCTCGAAAAATCTCCTCACCACCTTTATGGTTCCCTCTCGCAACTCTTTCTGGATTGAGGCCCTCCAATCTTCCATCTCCTCAATCTCTGCTACCTCGGCTTCAGCCGCACTCTTCTCCATATGGAGCAGGGTCACACTCCTACTCCTACAATCTACCAAATTCTGAGCGATTTTAAACAGCAAGTCAGCTCGACCATTCTCCCCTCGAGGTATCTGTATTAATTCAAATGACCCAAATTCTTCCTTCATTTCCTCATGTTGTCCACATGACGCTGCAGCCGATCCTCTTTGATCTCGAAACCTTCTTGGAATTGACCGACCACTAACTGGGAATCAAAATGGATCTGGATTTTTCGAGCGCCCCCAGCCAGAGCCAACTGTAGCCCCTTTATGACCGCTTCGTACTCTGCCTCGTTATTTGATACTCGGAATCCTACTTTGACGGCAAACTCTAAGTAATCCCCTTTGGGCGAGACCAAGACTATCCCCAAGCTGGCCCCGCTCCTCGACACTGAGCCGTCCGCGAACAATTGCCACACTCCTTCCGTGTCTTCTTCCTCCTTCGTACCTTCCCGTATGAAATCGGCCAAAACTTGTGCTTTGATCGCCCTCCTTGGCTCATATACTATAGAGTACTCGCTCAGCTCGACCGCCCACTTTACTAATCGCCCTGACACCACTGGTCGACCCAATGTTTGCTCTAAGGGCATGTTTGTCCGCACTTTGACCCTGTGATTTAGGAAGTATCGTCTCAACTTTCGAGCCGTCATGATCACCGCCAATGCGCATTTTTCGATCTCCGAATATCTCAACTCCGCCACTTGCATTACTCGGCTAACATAGTATATTGGGAACTGAGCTACTCCCTCTTCGCGTAACAACACTGAACTTACTGCGCACTCGCCCACAGATATGTAGAGCACGAGTTCCTCTCCTTGCACTGGTTTGGCTAGCAATGGCAAATTCGCTAGCACCTCTCGCAACTCCTCGAAAGCCTTCTGCGCCCCTTCCGTCCACTGGAATTTCGAACTCTTCTTTAACGTTTTAAACAGAGGACCACTTTTCTCGGCCACTTTAGAGATGAATCTGCTCAGGCCCGCTATTCGACCAGTTAGAATTTGGACTTCCTTCGCACTGGCAGGTGGTTTCATCTCGATGACTGCCCTTACTTTCTCTGGGTTGACCTCTATTCCCCGTTTAGTCACCATATAGCCTAGAATTTTTCCTGCTTTCACTCCGAACGAGCATTTAGTTGGGTTAAGCTTCATGCCGTATCTTCTCAGTGTTTGGAAAGTTTTTCTCAAGTCGCCTACATGGTCAGATTCCATTTTGCTCTTGACCAGCATGTCGTCTACATATACCTCCATATTTCTTCCCAGTTGGTCTTTGAAGATCTGGTCGACTAACCTCTGATAAGTTGCCCCAGCATTCTTCAGTCCGAACGGCATAACTACATAGCAATAGGTGCCCTTGCTCGTAATAAAACTTACTCTCTTCCAATCATCCTTCGCCAAGGGAATCTGGTGATAGCCTTGCGAGGCATCCATTAGACTGAGAAGTTCACATCCTGCCGTGGAGTCCACTAGCTGATCGATCCGGGGCAGTGGGTATAGATCCTTCGGGCACGCTTTGTTCAGGTCGCGGAAGTCGATACACATTCTCCATTTCCCTCCTGATTTGGATACCATCACTGTGTTAGACAGCCATTCGGGGAACTGTATCTTCTTGATATGCCCGACGTTTAAGAGCTTCTCGACCTCCTGCTCTATTATCCTGTCCATCTCCGCTCCTTGATGTCTCCTCTTCTGTTTTACCAGCTTCACAATAAGATCGATATTCAGCCGGTGTTCGATTATCTTGGCCTCGATCCCTGTTAATTCCTCCGTAGTATATGCGAAAATATCCGCAAACTCTCTTATCAAGTCCACAAATCTCGACCTGATTGACTCTCCCAGCTCTTTCCCAATTCTAAATTTTCGATCATCCTTCCCTTCCACCATTTGGACCTCCTCAACCTCGCCCCCCGGTTGCATGTCCATTTTCTCCTTTCCCTTGTCTTGCTATCCCTTGTCCTCCTTCGACCTCGATCCTCCTGGTCGATCGGGACGCTCCTCTCCACCTTTCGCTTGCTTCCTCGCCATTTGCTTGTTATTGCTGACAGTGGTTTGGTAACAACTCCTCAATGTGAGCTGGTCTCCAGCAATCTCGCCCACATTTTCACCCACAGGATATTTGATCGTCATGTGGTATGTAGACACAACTGCTTGGAATGCGTTCAACCCCGTTCGTCCCAATATGATATTGTAGGACGATTCCGCTCCTACCACCACGAACCGCACCATCCTTACCTTCATAGTGTCACCCGATCCCAACGCCACAGTTAGACTTACTTCACCCATCGACATCACCTCACCTCCGTTAAAACCATACAAGGCCGTCACTACTGGTTTCAGTTCTAGATTCAGATGTTTGTTAATCTGCGCGAAGCAGTCATAGAACATCACATCGATCGAGCTTCCTGTGTCGATGAACACCCTATTTACATCAAAACCAGCCACTTCCACCGTAATAACCAGCTCATCATTATGGGGCAATAAGATCCCTTCCGCATCCTCTGCTCGAAAGCTAATTATAGGCAGTCGACCAGTTATCCCGATTTCCTCTCTCTTGCGTTTTACAGCTCGCACATGTCCCTTTCGCGCATTGTTTGAATCCCCATCTGTGGGTCCTCCGGAAATCATATAGATTGTGCCCCTCTTTACTGGTATCTTCACCCTCGGCTCCTCTCGAGCACCACTTCCTCGGCTCTTTTTTTCTGCCCTGTCGTCATCCTCTCTATCATCGTCCCTGTCAATCCTCACTATCGAATCCTCCCTGCACCTCCTTTTCTCCTTTCCTCGTGGTCGATCCCGGATGACAAACTCCTTTAAATGTCCTGCCCTTATGAGGCGCTCAATCTCATCTTTCAAATGTCTACAATCCTCTGTAGTATGTCCATAATCCCTATGGAATCTGCAGTATCTGCCTGACCTAGGCTTGGTCGGCCCCTCAAATCTCGTCGCTGGCCACGTGACCTCCTTACTCTCCAGCTTCTCCTCGATTGCTGCCAGGACTTCGCCCATTTGGGCGTTAATAGGAGTAAAATTGTTATATCTTTGACCATTGGGTAACCGAGGTCGCCCTTGCCAGCGGTCCTCTCGCCCTCCGTGAAACAAATTTCGCCCATCCCTTCTGGGCGACGCTCTCTTGGATGAGCCATTCTTTGGGGGATTTCTCATAGGTGATCCTCTCCTGGGTGAATTCGGCTTTTCCTTCCTCTGGTCAGGCCTCGCCACCTCTTCGAGTTTAGCGAACTCTGCCTCTGTCTCTTCCAAATTGATGTACTTCTTACATCTCCTCAACACTTCATCGTACGTTCGAGCATGCGTCTTTGCCAACGACGTTCGACACGGTCCTGGTCGCAGACTCCTGATTAATCCTCCCGCTTTCACCTCATCGACCGCCGTTGGGACCTCTAAGCACATCTGGTTGTATCGAGCAACATAATTACGTAGAGACTCTTTCTCGCCCTGCCGCATCGCCATCAAAGTGAGGTATGTTTTCTCCTGCGCGACTGCACTTGAATACTGGTTGGTAAGTTGTCCTGCAAAATCCTCAAAGTCTTTGATCGACCCGGGAGCTAATTGATGAAACCAATCAAGGGCGCCTCCTCGTAAGGTTGACAAAAACGCTCTGCAACTGACTGGGTCCGAGTACCCGTGCAACACGGACATGTTCTCAAAGGCCCTTACGTGCCTCGACGGATTGCTTGAACCATCGAAGATCAAGCTTATCTCCCTAAAACTCGTAGGCAATGGCGCAGCCAGGATTTCCCTCGAGAACGGGTGTCCTCAAGCACGCCTGTCTGGCCTTCCTTCCACCTTCTCCTGCAACTACCGGAGCTGCTCGGCCATCCTCTCCATCGCCCTATCTCTGTGCTCGCCTCCTCCGCCATAACTCGATACGTCCTCGTCTTGCATCCCCGGTATCGTGGCCGGTGTGGTAGCAGCCTGGGACGTCTGGTGAGTGACCTGCTGCACAGCCTGTGCCGCCGCGTTGGCCATCATCCTCTGCATCTCTTCTCTCGTCATAGTCACCATATGTTGGGCAGCGGGTTGC